AGTTGACAGAAAAAGTACCTCTGGGTACTTGTTCAAATTTCTGGGAGGTCCTATTTCTTGGTGTTCCAAGAAGCAACCTGTTGTGGCGTTATCAACCTGTGAAGCTGAATACATTGCAGGTGCTGTTACTGCATGCCAAGCTGTGTGGATTCTGAATCTGTTGCAGGATCTGAAGATTAAAGTAAGCAAACCTCTGAAGTTGATGATTGACAACAAGTCTGCAATCAACCTTGCCAGAAACCCAGTGCTGCATGGGAGAAGCAAGCATATTGAGACCAAGTATCATTTTCTGAGACATCAAGTTCAGAGTGGAGTGTTAGAAGTTGTACACTGCAGCACTCAGAAGCAGTTGGCAGATGTTCTGACGAAAGCTATCAAGACTGATCAATTTCTCAGATTAATGGATGGAATTGGTGTTACAAGTTTTGATGGAATATGAATTAAGGGATGGTATTAGTAATAATTCATATTTTATTATATTACTTTCTTAAGCCCATAAGTTTGTTAGAGGGTATTTTAGTATTTATCTTATTCTAGTAACCCTAGTTTTAGCTTATAAATAGGGTGACAATCATTGTAACCAAATATCATGCTTTTGTAGCCGTCATTCTTCAATAGAATATTCCTTTTGTTCATCATTTATTCACCTTTGCACCAACAGTGATGAGGAGGAGAAGGGGGGGTGTACCTGCAAGACACTCCGATGCAAAAGTAAGGAATTGGGCGAAGTGAGAGCAAATACAGAAATGGGGTAAGAAGTGAATTACCTGGGCCTCTTGTGGAAGAGGGTATTTATAGAGAGACCCCAGCACTGGGCCAACGGTCACTTGCGTTGGGCTGGATTGCCAGGCCCAACCCAGGTGACTGTTAGGGCTTACGTGACATAGTGAAGACCAGGACGTGGTCTTCGCCCTAATCCAACTGTCCCTTGATCTCCGGAAAGTGGGTTTGACCCGCTCTTTCGGAGGTGGGCAGTTGGTTGGTGACGTGTCCTCGCGGAGGGGAGCTCGTGGAGAATGTGCGCATGACACGTTGTTCTCTCCGCGGAGGGGAGCTCGCGGGGTCCCCCGAGAGCACGTTGTTCTCCCCGCGGAGGAGAGCACCCGAGGGCGGGGGAGACATGTCGTCCTGCCTCGTTGGTATGGGGATTCTGCCCGTGGAGGGCTGCTCTGCCCGACTAAGGAAGAGCGCCGAGGGCGTTTGGAAACACGTCGTCCTGTTCGGCGGGAGCATGCCCTGCCCGTCGAGGGGGTCGCGTGCCCGGCCAGCCTATTCAAATCATATTGGACCTTGGTGTGTGTGTGTGTTATTGGGTTGGGCCGCGAGATGAGGCCGGGCCCAGGCCAGAATAAATTTTATAAGAAAAATTTAAAAGGGGAAGAGAGTACACCAACACATACACAAAGGGATTAGAAAATGGGAAGAGACATTCTTAACCATCATTTATCAATATTTCCAATAGTTCATCTTCTACGTAAAAAATAATAAATTTGATATTTTTTATTAGTTTGTTTTGTTCTACAATATGTGGAGGAGGGAGGGAGAGAGAGAGAGGGGAAGGGTGCGAGAGGGATTGTTTCGGATGTTTATTTTAGATAATTATACATTAATTGTGTCGTATTTTCCAAATAATTATTGCAAAATTAAGTTATTATACCCAAATGTAGTTTATAAAAATTATTATATAAATAAGATCAAAATTAAAATAAAAAAATACGTTTATACTTAAAAACGTGTGTAGACTAAAAAAAACGGAAAGTACCCGTTTGAACGTTAGTTAAATATAATTTAAATTTGTGTTTTACTTTTAGTATGACTTTTAATACATAGACCAATTAAAAAAACATTTATATATTCTTGAAGATAGAAAGAAAAGACTTCCGAAAATTAATTTTTGTAAATATATAAAATTATATTTGATATTTTTTTTAAATAGTAATTTTATATAAAATGATAATATATTGTTTATCGATGTTATATTTTTATTTTTAAAAATACTATTAAACTGAACGATTACCTTTTAAAACTTATTGAACGATCATCACCACAACCACTATTTTAAATAGTAAATTGAATTGACATGTCAAATAGAGTATCGGAGGTGTCTTAGATATGATTTGATTGTTGGATTAAATAGATTATTAAATTAGTGAGAATCGGCTAGGACGACCAAAACCAACAAAATCAACGAACCAATAATTTTAGAAAATCGACGAATTAAATGTTTTTTCTTTTCAAACAAAACGATTATGTTTGAGCAATTTTTTTATAAAAAAAAAACTAAAATTAAAAATTACAATTATTTTGTTATTCAATTTATGTTGCATTAGATTTTATTCAAAATTTATTTAAATTTATATTTGTACTATTTTATTGTGTGTGATGACTATATTTAAAATTTGTATTTAAAGAATGAACTTGTGAAATTTTAAAATTTTATAGGTGTGGTGATTTTTTTAAGAGTGAGTCATTCAGTTCGATCAGTTTAATAACTATATGGTTTTCTTATAGAGATTGGTTTAATCAACTAAGTAACTCAATTTAATATGGTTTAGTCATGCGGTTCGACCAGTGACTTAGTGGTTCGAACAAATATTCAGTGATTCAATACCCTCATTGGTTCAATGACCATTCTGATTTTTAAAACATTGACCACAACTTAATAACTAGTCTAATTCCTTCCATGTTGAAAAGAGTTTTACTATAACTAAACTAATCAACGTCTACATGTGTCCGATTGATAATCATTAAGATTTCTCACAATCAACGTCTACACTTGTCCAATTGGTAATCATTAAGATTTCTCGCAGAGAAGATTTGAAACCCATATGTTTAGACAGAAAAGATCCCACTTCTCTCTAGAAACTTAATGTTTTGAGGACGATTTTTTCCAAATTTATCTAACATTTCTCAAATTCTTTTTAGTTTCTTTCTCTTCTCTAGTAGAATGTGTAAGTCTTTTTACTAGTTTTCCTGCTTTCTCTCACAAAATGTACAAGTGAAAGGAGATCCTTTTGTCAAAGGAGGAAGAAGAAGGGGTTATTGTTACCTTGCATTTTTTCGACCTAACTATAAATAGCAAGTAAGACAAATAAGTGTGTCATATTGAAAGCTGAAGTTGAATGTGGTCAATCAGAAGTCATGAGTTGATTTGATTTAAGCATGTCGAAGGTCATGTCTAATAAATGTTGGTCGAAGTGTGTAGCTGAAGGTCGAGGAATATATGGAGTTTTGGACTTAGTAGAATTTCCAAGTGTTCAGATCAGTTATTTGGCCTGAGGGAAAGAGCGGAAATTGGATTAGAAAGGGTGGTTACTCGAAGGCACGTGGAAGTCCATCATAAGGAGATGTTTGCCTATGATGTAAGAGTTCGCAATTGTACTCAAATTTCTATATGCTCAAATTATCTGCGTAATTGAGAAACAAGTGAAGAAAATGTGCGTATGCGTTCCGCATTTATAAACTTCAAACACTTTTACATTCAAGTCTTTTCTGGCATTCGTTTACATTTTGATTCCTATCATTTCGTTTTGAGTGTATTGCCTTCTCCTGTCATTTTATTTTCACTTCACATTTCGATTTCAGTTATTGTTATCTTCAAAACCCTTTTATGTTTCAAGTCTTGTCAAATTTCACATTGTTATTTTCAAATGTTGTGTTCCGATTTCAATAATAACATGATGTTCAGAAGTTTAAATTCACACAAATATGTTTCGAAATATTTTCGTGTTTAATATCTTAAGTATTAATAGAAACTTGTTTTATTTATCAAATTTTCAAGTAAACAGTTACAGCAGAGGCGGGCGAAGTTGGTGGCGAGAAGAGCTTCCAACGTATTCTCGCGACGAAGCTCTGGAATGACAATAGCTTCAACTCTCAGGCTTTTACAAACACGACGATTAGTGCATGAAAACTTAAAAATCCGGTGGAAATCTAAGAAACTCTGCAAACCGGAAGATCATATATATATATATATATATATATATATATATATATATATATATATATATATATATATATATATATATATATATATATATATATATATATATATATATATATATATATATATATATATATATATATATATATATATATATATATATATATGAATCTGAAGAAATTTCAATGACTAACATAGAAAAATCCCCGATTTCATTCTTTGATTAAATTATAATATAAATTAAGGGATATGAGTTTATGAGTTATCTACTCATAGAAGTTAATTTATGATTCTACTTTAATTTTTATATAAATAAAAATCATAACTTTTATGAAGAGATCTAAGATGTTTCTGCAACATAAATCTATTACTATATTGATTGTATTTTCTATTATCTTTATTAACTTTGTAAGCCATCCATGTTCTACTTATATCCATACATGTGTGGCATGACCTTATATTTTATGGGAGCTTAAAAGTACTTCAAATTATATGAGAGTTAAATTTCCTTTTCTTAGGTGCTGTTTGGTACAACAACAAAGTGGTTAATATCACCATGGAAGTTTAATGGAGTTTGTCTACCAAGTGGTCCTAGCATTCACTGATTCAACCGACTCTGGCAAAGCAAATTCATTATTGAGATTCTCTTGCTCTTCATGCAATGTGGTGGCAGTGTCATGATTATTACCAAGTGGCTTACTAGGATTCACAGATTCAATCAATGTTCACGTTAATCCATTCTGTTAACGGACACATCTAAAATAAACTCTGTTGAAAATATTAATAAGATAACGATGAAGAATGTTAAATAAACAAAACTGATAGGAATGTTTTGTCAAACTAGATTACGTGTTCATCTTTAATTATTCAATGTCATTTTAATATTTTATATTACTAATTATAAATTTCACTTTTCGAAGAATTATTTAAAAAACTTTCGGATAGAGGCTTACGTGTTGCCACAATCACCAAAATCATGTTACAATGCATGCCGAAGGTACTTGATTGATTTCATTTTCATCATCCTCTATCTTTAACAACGCTCAAAAATAGTTACATGAACCTCTTTAGTTTATTCAACAAAATCATGTTTTCAACAACTGCGATGTCGTATACTTCATCACCTTCAATCTCTTTCCGCAAATTTTCTGCATTTTCCAAACCTAAACTCTGCAATCTACCATGTTACACCACCAACTATTTCTCTCTCGGGTTAGCCACTTCTGCCAGAAACCTCTCTCTGACTTGTAGCTACTCGTCACAAAATGAATCTCGCTCCGAGGGATCATCGTCAATTCAGGTTCACGCATGATCTTGTTTTGTGTGATTTTGTTTGTTTGTTCTGTTTTGTTGTAAGATTATGAATTGTTGTTTGGTGTTTTGATTCTGAACCCTAAATCTTTTCGTGTTTGGTATGAAATTGTTTGCATTTATGATTTTGAAAAAAATTAGGACTCTGATTCTTGGTTGTGTTGCCAATTAATCACGGTTTCATTCTGAAGCCTTTTGTGATTTCGGTATTGTAACAATGATTGTGGTCGTCTGTGGCATGAATTAATTCTTTATCATAAAAATTGTGAATGACCCAAGTCCTGGGTGTGGGAGGGGTGTTAAAGATTCTCACATCCGATAATATAGGGTCATACCATGTTTTTATAAATGGGGCAATTCTCAACTTACAAATATGAGTTCGCCCCAACCCAAATTCTGAGAGATGTCGATTTCGCGCTGACAAACCAATTTTTAAAAACTTGAAGATTTTAAAATCACTACGACTTGGGATACTATCTCAAAGTTTGTTTTTCTTTTATGTCTGTGGACACAATTGGGACTGCATTTTATTTGTTTGGTTTTGAAGCAAAATTTGGATTTTTAGTTTTTCAAAGTAGTAATGTGATTTCTGTGTTTGCAGGGTGGTGAAGGATTTCTCAGGGATGTGTTGGAGAGCATGCAGGATGTGTACTTGAAAAGGAATCCTACTGCAAAGGCTGTATTGGACCTTGTTCAATCTGTTGACAACGATAAATTGGCCTATGATCATCTTGCATTCAGGACATTTGGGGTACGTCTCTCGCTTTACTACCTTCTTCACACATTCAATTTTTCGGTTTGTCAATTATATTTTGTTAAATCATTTATTATGTTCTATGCAATGTTGTCAATCCCGGGAAATAAAAGTTTGTTCAAATTCTACTATGCTATTGTGCTGCTATTTGACAGCATTTTGTACCAAATAGTATACTGCATAACAATAGAGATTTATTTTAGTTATGCTATGTTATAGCGTTATAGCACGCTTTTTAACTTCACTGGTCTTATGAACATGATTATAGGTGAATGGTTATGGAATTGAGTCCTTGGCTGGTTTTTTCTTGGATTATGGCTATACACAACGAGAGGAGTTGAAATTTCCAGCAAAGAAGTTGAGGGCATTGTGGTTTTCACCTCCTGCTGATTCAACTTCCGGTACTGGCAGTGGTATGAATGGGCCCTTGCTGCCAAGAATTTTTATATCAGAGCTATTGGTAGATCAGATGAGTCCCCAAACCCAGGTATGTTGGTGAGAACAAATTTCAATTAGTGTCTATCAGAATCTATTATCCAAGAATTACAATGATTTTGATTGAGGAATGGTTTCGTCCCTCTTATTTGCAACTAGTTTCAAGCATAAGCAGAGTGATAAAATGATTGTAGAACAGCTTTCATTGTTTGAGTTGTTAAGCTTGTTTTTATGTGGCATGTTGAACAGCTATTTATGTTTTCCGTTCTAGATGTACTTTATAACATGATATTGTACTTTATAACATGATATTGTAGAGTATTTTGCCTATTTTTCTGAGATTCACTTTAGTGAATGGGAATTTGTGGTGGCATTTGTTGATTTTCGGTATCTTTTTTCCAACTGTTTGAACTTAAAAGACAAGTTTATAGCTTTTTGTAAATTGTAATGTTGCCTCAACGCTCGAAATATTTGTTGTACTAAAAGAAGGTGAAAATTTTCATACAGGAAATCATTAAGAAATACACTGAATCATCTGGCAATGGAAACAAGTATGGAGCTCTTGCAAGTTCCTTGGGGCATTTAACATGGGGAAAACCCTTATATTCTGAGTTTCAGCAATTAGCAAGGTATTAGTATATCTCAACCTAGAAATACTATTTGAGGATCTTCAAGTACTGTTTTTCATATGGTTTGTTGAATGTTGATATTTGTCATATACAGCGAAAGTGAATATGCTGCGTGGACACTAGTCAATGGCCATGCACTGAACCATGTAACTATTTCCACTCATTGGCTGAAAACTCATTTGAGGGATATAAAGAAACTGAATCAGTTTCTTGAGGAGAGTGGATTCAGATTGAACTCTGAAGGAGGAGTATTGAAAGGTAGTGTAACATTTTCTGGATATTCTCGAAAATTTGAATCTCGATTTGATAACAATGTTCAACAAGCCATTATAAGTCAATCTCATACTACACTCTTTTCTTATTTAGCCAATTTCTATCTCATGTAAAACAATGAAAGATTGATTTGTTTGTGTAGTTGCTTTCACATTGATTAGATTAGTTTTTAGAATTGGAAAAAGTATTTTATAACAAAGTAGTAAATACTGCAATAAAAACCAAGACGACGGATATAATAATCTTGAAATTGAAAATGATCAAAGCTAGTTGTTATCCATATTGCTATCGCGTATCATGTGAATGACTTGAATATTTCCTCGACTTTCAGTGAGCCCTGATGGTCTTCTCCAGCAAAGTTCAACTATAGCAGATTCAGTTTCTTTCCAATTTTCCGATGGTATAACTGAATCAGTTCCATGCTCATACATTGAATTTGCCGAGCGTCTAGTGTTGCCGCAGTATGAAAACATACCTCACACAGATGTAAGCAGCATTCTCTCTCCTGACTATTGTGTTTTAACTTTGTATCGTAATTTATGACTCTCATCTCTGATTTTTACACTGGTGTTTAGGACAAAGTTGTGAACTACCTTATGTGTTTGAATGATATGCTTATATGCGTATTGATTGCATGTTTGAATTGATGTTGAGATTAGTAGAATCATGATGAGCCGTGTGATTTTAGCAAAAGTTACACTTTGAGCTTCACAGAATCATGGGGCAACTATGATTTCTCCGAACTCACCAACAATCCATGCATACTCGATGTCATTTTTGTCACATTTTCCGCAGGATTTCTAATTCTTATTGTTTTAACTAATGGAACAGATTAAAGAATTTCATAGGAGGGATGGTTTTGAAGCAGCAAGTGCTGATAAGATCTTTGAAAGCACATCCAAGGAACAACTGAGCCGAGTAGGAGGCTCCTAGGAGTATAGTCTGTATCACGATCATGTACACATATACTTTTCCCTTTGGGAAAGAAGAAAGAGCATTTTAAACCCCAATTGTATTCTTGATGTTTGGATTTCATGCGGTTCCAATAATCTGTATACTGCATGATTCAATTGGGTTTAATAATTTACCTCAACAAATAAAGGGCACGTTTGTTTTGCCTTTTTTTTAAAATGATTTTTATAGTGTAATATAATTTATACACGTTACTTGACATCAGGTGGAACATGAACCTTGCATTTGCAATAGCTATTACAAGTCTAACTGTTTCAGTTCTAGCTTAGGGAAGCATAAACCTATGAATAGTCTAGTCCATGTCTTTAAAGAAAACCTCTAGCAACTAATATGGTCTTGTGTTTTACAATTGATTCATCTGAAATATGGCCATGTGTTTTACAATTGATCTATTTGGGCTGTGTTTTATAATTGATCCATCTGAATTGTGTTTTGGCATGAACATGCAAATTACTTCAATAGCTTTCTTGTGTTTTACAGTTGATCTATATGAGTTGTGTTTTACAATTGATCCATCTAGAAACTAACATGGTCTTGTGTTTTACAATTGATCCATCTGAGTTGTGTTTTATAATTGATTCATCTGGATTGTGTTTTGGCTTGAACACCCAAATTACTTCAACAATCTTCTTATCATATGGCAACTTGATTAGCTCTCATGTATCATTTTTTTAAATTTAGTTAACTCTTATTTCATAGCCTTTTTTTCCTGCTCTATTCATCAAAGATTCGTAATGGTTAATAAGATCATTGTCTATTAGTGTCACATTTGGTGCCAAATCACCTTCTTTTGTCACCTTGTTGTCATTGTCTAGTTCACAATCTTAAAGCGTTATTCAAATGTTCATAGTTCTTTGTAGTCTCTCAGCAATCTCAACATTTGGTGCTTACACTTCTTCTATTGACGACTAATCACTATTATTGAGTAATGAGCTCATATAAGACTTACTTGAACTGCTCACTGATTTCTAATACCATGATATCATCACATCGTTGTTGATGGACATTATTTGAGTGGCATAATCATATATTTTGTAGGCATTGATTGCATGATATCCAGCTAGAATCACTAGTGCACTTTTGTCATCCAACCTACTTCTCTTTCCATCAGGGACATGCTTGTCACATAGTCCACCAAATACTCAAAATGGTGCAACTAGTCCTCTTGTCACTCAGAATTTCTCATGTGCCATGGTCTTTACTCTTCTAGTTAGACATGTATTTAGCACATATATTTCATCGTAGATTCTCTCCGAAATGATTTAGGCATGTCTATTTGCTCTACCATGCACTTGACAATATCTAAGATAATTATGTTTCTCCTTTCAGTTAAGACATTATGATTAGTGTATATGTGTTGCACCCCAAAATTTGACTAACCTTTTTCTTAACTTGGTTTATGTTTCATTTCATTTTCTTCTAGCATTTGCATTGCATAGCATTGTTCATTTGACAGGGGATCAAGACGTTGTGCATAGCAAGAGAAGGTCACCAAGAGTGTTGAGCCTAAGCAAGGGGATTTACTCAAGCATGAATGGTCATCAAGTCACCAAGAAGTGGTCAAAGTTTTGTGAAAGAGTTGATGGGTGTATGTGGATCAGCTCCTAACTTGGAGGCCAGTTGAAGATCATCAGAGGATTGTGAATTCATGATTGTGGATATAGGATGTTGAGGAAGTTCATTGAAGGATTTGAGAGCCATGTTAGAGTTTATTCAAGTTGTTGTGTCATGTGGAAGAAGCCACAGTCAAGAGTGTTGCATCTAGGGTTTTCATCTGGTCAACCCTCAGTCAATTGTGAAATTGAAGGAGATTAAGACTCAATTCCAAGTCTTTGTGATGATGGTATATTGTGTTGAGATGTATAATATATTATTTCAAGATCAATTCATAAAGAATCAAGAGTGTGAGAAGTTACTAAATTAGGGTTCTCATTGTAAAATCCACTGTTTAGTGTCCAACTTCAAGACCACATATCTCAAGATACAAGTCTCATCTCATCTTGACCCCAATATGAAACTTGTAAAGCAAGTTTCTAGATTTCTTTTGAGTACTAGAAGTCTTTCATCTGATTTCTAGAACTTAAGTTATGATGCTGATAAGTTATAGGTCATCAGATGAATGTGATTTTGGTCAACAAAAGTCAACCAACTTCCAAGATATTTTTGTCCTAGAAGGATGTTTCTCCTCACTCTGACCCAAACATGAAAGTTGTTTCTCATGATCTTAGCTTTCCAAAAAATATTAGAAGTCCTTCATCTGATTTGTAGAACTCAAGTTATGAAGCTTACAAGGCAGGGGTATTTTGGGAAAGTAGGATTACAAGTCATTTTCATTATAGGTCCATTTCACTATCTTGCACACTTCAAATGAAACTTTTCCCAACATGAAACTTGCTCCAAATTGTACCAATTTCATATTGAAACACTCACTTATGATGAATTTGGTATGGATTGAAGAATTGGTGTGAGACTTTTTCATAAAGAAAGCTTAAAAAGGGAAAATTGCAATTAATTGATTTTGAACCAAAACAAGTCATGTTTATACATATTTTGAGTGCCAAAGATGTAACAAACAAGATGCAAGAATTATATTTGAGTTTTGGTATGGTTTTCACGTGTAATTTCATGGCAACTTTAATTGAAATTTTGACAAACCAATCTCAACCATTTGATCAAATCAAGGGATGAATCTCATCCACATGATCAGAATGAAGTTCCAGCAAGCATTTTGAATGGGAAAACAAGGCATTTGGCTCCATTTTCACGTGTGCATGATCATGAAAAATCAGAATTGGGCATTTTTGAATTGCAAGCAATTGAGCCACAATTGGGCCTCCAATTGATTCCCAACCCATCATATATAATGTGTAAATGAATTTTGAGCATTCATTCATGCTATTTCGTGCTCAGAAAGCTCAGGAACAGTTGGAGTAAGCAAGCAAAATTCCAAAATCGTGAATCATAATTGAGGAGTTTTCAAAGCAATTCAAGGTCAAATTCATCTTCCTCAAGCTTCCTTGAGTGGATCTGCAGAGTTTCATCAAGCTTCACCATCATTTGAAGGCTCAGTGGAGGCACTCCACTAGGTAAGCTTCAATTCAACAATTCTCCCTGAATATGATGTAATTGAATGCCATTTTTGCATAATCATGATCTATGAACTGTGTAGATCGTTTCTGGATAGTATTTGTTCTTGTTTATGTTGAATTGTGAGTTGAGCTTCAAATTGTTTGGCTTTAATTTGGCTTATTTATGGATTGAAAATGAAAACAAATCATGGATTCTTGATGTACTTGAGGTGACAAGTTGATTGGTGTAAAATCTTGTGAGTTTCGTGAACATTTTTGATCTGCTACTGTTCATGCTAGAGGTTGAAGATGGTCGGAGTTGCTCCGGCCACCGTCTGGTGATTTCCCTCCCGTTTCATGTTTGAAACTCATATTCATGTGTGGCATCATTGTGTCCCTTAGATCTAGGCTGATTATTTGACTATGACTTGATCTGATGGCCACGTTTTCACTTCATTTTGTATTAGAGATCTGATGCTTGCTTGGAAACATGGTAACCTTAGGATCATTTGACTTCACTCACATCCCACTGCCATGACTTGTTTGACTTTGCTTTAATGAAACGTTGCGTATTGCAGCTTGCATCGTGGCCTTTGATTTACTTGACTGGTAATTGTATCATAGGGCTGAGATTGTTTCTTGTTTTGGTTGACTGATTTATATGGACTGAGCTCTCCTTTGCTAGCCACACCCCCTGCACACAAGCCCAATTGTTTAGCACGTTATTTCATTGCTGTTTGCACCTTGCTTTTTCCATTTTCCTTTTATTTTCCTATTATTTTATTTTCATGACTGTTTGGAATTAATTCATTCAAAAATAGTTCTCCAATTAATAAAATTCATCAAAAATATTTTCTAGACATTTTAGGATGTCCTTTTATTTTTAGAATTTTTATTTTATTTGTTTGGATTATTTTTCATTTAAAAAAGGAATTATTAATTGAAAATGTTTTGTTTGGATTAATTTTTGACATGCCTTTGTTCTTGATTTGTTTCTCCTTTTTTCTTTTGATCCAATGACTGAAAATTAATCCTCATATCCATGATGAGTTGATTGATTTTTGAGGACCATTTTGCCCCTTTTTGGTTGACTTTTGGTTTGACTTTGACCTTGTTTTTGTTGACCCTCGATAACCTTCTCTCAAATTGGTGCATCCATGTGAATCAATTTCTTTGATGATGATTTGAGATGACTTTGGTTATGATTTCTTGGAATCTGTTTGTCAACATGTTTATGAGCTTGTGATATTTTATTTGGCCTTTTTTGAATCATTTTCCTAATTTTGAGGTAACTTGCAAGTCAAGTTACCCCAAAGGAAGGTTCGTACATACACATTGACCTAGTTTGTCTTGGATATGATTTTGATGGATCCTTTGAGCCTTCAATTCCTTTTGATTCATGTTGCTAACATGTTAAGGTTGCTGGTTTCTCAATTTTAGGTCATGATATTGTGTTTTGCTTGTTCAAACTTGTGTTTCTTTTTGAGTTTCCATTTAGGGATTCCATGTGTGACATGTTTGCATTCCTTTGTGTTAGTGCTTGCATTTTATTTTGGTTTGATTGCTTTTGCTTTTGAGCATTTTTCTCTCATCCTCTCTTCTGTCCCATGACCTTGGAGTCTTATTTAAGGTGGCTTAGTCCCTGCTTAGGAGGTACTTGAAGCATACCTAAAATGATGAATCCATGAGGACTTCTTTGTGCTTTCTTTTGCTCTTTGTTTGTGATGCTTATGGTTGAGTGCATATTATGAGTTCCTTGCTGTCCTCATATAGCCTCCCATCCTCACCTTTTTTTAAACTTTCCTTTCATTTGATTTGGCTTTTGGCACTTGTGGTTGATGTTGTTTGACTTAGGTCATTTCATCCCACTTTTGGTGCATTTTTGTGTGGTTT